GGGCGGGGCAGGTGGGTGCCCGCGGCGGGAGCGGGGCCGCGACCCGCAGCCTCCCTGTGCGGGACGCGCCCGTCCGCAGCAGCGCTCCGCCAGCGGCTGCCGTGAAACGGTGCGGACGGCTTCTGTGAAGCCCTAACGTTGTTGTGCAGCGCGCTGCAGGATGAGTCGTTACCTGAGTTGCTAAGCGGTGGATGTCTCCACAGGTTGCGGACACCCGAGGCGGGAGCTTTACAAGCCTGGGGTTGTTTATGTGCAGTCTGGTCAAGCAAACTTGGTGCTCATCCATTAAGACCCTAAGGCTTCATGCTGTTACCTGCCATCRCACACTAAACATCTGCCCCCGTCTGCCGTGTTGCTTGAACGCTGGGGCAGAATGCTGTAATTACATGCTGAATAAATACAATTAATGCACTTATGTAATTTTAACAGGTTTCGGCACTTATATTTCTAGTATTTCTGCTGTATTTCGAACACTTTGACAGAAAAAGTATTAGAGGTCAAAAATATTCATCTGATCTCACTTTAAAGCTGCTATGTCTTTTCAGCTAAGGGCTAAGTCTTATTTTGTTATCATCATTTTGCAGCATGGTGGTGCCAGAATTAGTGTGCAATCTATTGAACACTAAAGTCTTATTGAAAGATGAGAGTGATACTATAGTGATACAGATAGAGTGATACTGTATGTCTTCCGAGTCTTGTTCATGCAATCTTCAAGAGATTTCTCTCAGTTAGAATAAGCAAGGATTAGTTTCACACCAGCAGTACTAATATGTCCAAAAGTAGAGATTTGGAGACTTCACGTGGGATTGTAAGGGGCAGCCCTCAGCATGGAAAGTCCTCCTCTTCTCTCTTAGCCACATGCTTCCATCCCTTCACACCAGCTCTGGCAGCTGCCAGACTTTCTGTTAAACCAGTTCAACTCACCAGCCCATCAGAAACTCAAGAGTATTCAGTGGGTTAGTTTTCCTCAGTATTAGTGAGTAGAATATGCTCACAAACAAAACCCACTCAACACCAGAACAAGCACCAGGTAAAGTCAGCCAGCTCTAGAAAGGAAGAATCTCGATCCATCCGTAGTCTTTATCCTTTCAAGAACAGCTAATCTAACAGCAATTAAATTTTCTTTAAAAAAAAAAAAAAAAAAAAAAAAAAAAAAAAAAGA